TGTCCCGTACGATCGGTCACACTCAAATATAGTGAGTGACCCGGATCATACAACTCGAACAGCTTTACCTAATAAAGCGGTTTTGGCGGAAACATGATGTATGCCGTTCATCATCAAAATTCCGCAATTGAATGAACGAGTTATCCTGCAAGACTAAGAGAAACAGGCCTAAAAGCATTAGGTACTCCTCAAGCTGGGTAAATCAGTTTCAAAATTTTAGATAATTTTTGCAGCTGTTGCAGTAAATGTAAATGTCGATAGTTGAACGCTTAGAAAGCAAAAGAATTTACGACAATCCTGTGCACAAAAACTTTTTCTAAAAGTTTCGTTTTCCTAAAACTTTATGAACAAGTGAACAAATTAGCTCTTACAACTCTCAAAACTTTATCAAGTTTGAATACATTTGTATTCGGATATTATAAGATCATTTTCGCTCATTCTCTAGACGTAACATGCTTCCCAGAACGTGAAAAACTTCAGGCCATTTGCCAAATGTTACATCGTAGCAGCATGAGTCACCGTAAGCCTGAATAAAAGTACAAGAGGGGAGAGGAGATGACCCAAGAATGGTTGCACCTACCTTAGCAATGGTGCCTACGCAATGCGTATGTCTATGCGGAAAATCAAAAATGCAGTTATTTTCTAAAACGGTTCTCGTCAAGTGACACCATGGACAGCAATGCTCATCCATACCTGTGTAAGTAAATGAATTAATGGATGAATGAATAAATACCTTTTACGAGATAAACTGACCTTCGATATCGCGAAACGCATTCAAACAAAGCGGTAATTTTTCTGTCGAACCATCAAACTGTATACCCATATCGGTGCATAACCGTCGAATGTCGGTATCTCTAATAGAGTTCCATTTTAAAACAGTCCGTGGGGAACTTTCGGCTACATACCTCCAGACTACATGTTCTCCCACAAAGAATGGACCACGATGAGCCTCCTCAAATCTAAGCTTTTCGGCAAGGGAGTCGATCCCGTAAAACTGAATCGTAGAATTGTATGAAATCGCCATATTATCAAAAACTTTACTTACCTCAGCGTCTTCCCTAATACCTTCAATCTCTTTGCCACACATGGAGTAACGAAATTTTCCTTCTCGCAAATATTTCAATATGTGGGGAAAGTATTTTGGGTCCCTGTCAATGAATATTGCCTCGTTTGCTCTGTCGATTAACAGGTCATCTGCCTCTTTTGCAAGTCTAAACATCCTCTTGAATGAAAGCGTTTTATTCTAGCTTAGCAAACGTTTTTGGAGAAAAGTTCATCAGCCCAAGCCTGAGAACAGTATGTAATGTTGCACGACAGAAAATAAGCTCAACTTGGTAACCGACATTTTCTTGAGAAATAGGTTTACAAAAGTCAATTTGCGTAAAATTTAAAAAAAAAAACCCACTCAGCTAATCTTCTGGAACCTTGCATCGTACTTACAGTTGTTTCGAACATGTGGCCACCAATGTTCAGTTTTACTGGCGCAGATAATGGAATCACCATGCTGAAATGTTTTTCATAGCGAAAATTTTAAAGCCCAGTCAAGGATGTATAACTAAGCACCATTTTGAATAAACGAATTTTGTACAATTTTTTAATGAATGTACAACAAAAGGTTTTATCCAATCTTTGAGAAAGTGGAAAGCGTACTATTGGTCTTATCATAAGATGAAGAAAGGTATGTTAAATGTAAACCATTACAAAACAAATCATAATTACTCTCAACTTGTCCTTCGGC